AATTAAAATCTTGAGTAATAAGGTTTTTTAACTTTTAGTAGAATAAGTAGCAACAAGAATATTAAGAACAATTACAACAAAAATAACAACAACATCGACAACAACAATGACAACAAACATCGAATCAAAATTTTTAAAAATTTTAATTTCATTTTAATATAACTTTGATTACCAAAGTTATACCAAAATTTAATATATGTTGTAGGTTCGCTTTAAAAAGAAAAAATAAGTGTAATATGTAACGAAAATTTGAGTTGAAACTCTTTTTAATATATCTGCACCCTACTTTATTTTAATAACATATATATGAATTATATATGTGTAATGTTATGTATTGGTGAAACTAACACTATTGTCAATAGTGAATCATTAATCGTTTTTATAATTTGAAAATAGAAAAACTACTCAAGCAAAAAATTTAAAAAAAGTTTAAAATGACACCAAAATCTTGTTTATTTTTTTAACGGAGTATATAAATACGGAATGGAAAAAAACAAACGAAAAGTTAATGATAAAATGCAAATGAATTTTGTTTAGTTAGTTTCTCGAATACTTAAAGCCCTTTCTATAAGTTTTTATACGCTTTTCCGCAGAATACTTTTTAATTTAAAATAAAAAAAGAACGTTGTAAAGCGTAGACGGCTGCAGCGTACTGATTTTTTTTTGTATTAATTTGTTTCAATATTACTAGTTTATATTTAAATATGACACAAATTGTTAAAATAGTTTTCATCAACTAGTTTGTAGCTATATGAATAACCAATTTAAAAAAATTTTTAATAAATCTTGTAAGTTTTATCAATATGTTTAAATTAAAAAATAAACACCTAAATAAATTAGCTCAGGTAAATAGCTCAGACGTAAAATAATGCTAAAACTGAGTATTAAATAAAAACTAAGCCCTAGATAATATCTAGTGCTTAGTTTTTATCTAATGTTCAGTTTTAGTATTATTTTTTTCGATTATCCAACAGATAATCGCTATCGTGTAATTATCTGAATTTATCGAGTAAGTCGATACTGAAGAGAATGAGATCTAGTATTGCACGTTATCAATACAACTAGCAGAGCCATGGCTAGACTACCCACGCACCACAATTGAAGGGGCCCAGTAAATTTAAGAGGGATTATTTGCATGTTTAGGATTATATACATATATATATATATATATATATATATATATATATATATATATATATATATATATATATATATATATATATATATATATATATATATAAAATCGTTATATTCATTCATATATAATCGTTATATTCATTATTAATCGTTATATTCATTATTAAATCTTTCAAATAAAATAACGACTTTTACCTTGTCAGTTCTATTATAAATGACAAATATAAGTTACGTTTAAATTATACTTTTTATTCTGATAAATTAGATAAACTTTATCTGATCTTTACTTTTATCTTCTAAATTTTTTACCATTAGTAATTAATTCATATTTAATCTGAGGGCTCCATGACGTATTACTTGTATACAATTTAATAATGTTTATATTATAACAACTAATCGTGTGATAAGAAGTGTTTTATTTTATAAAGTAAGTAACGACTGCTAATATATATACTGCTAATATAGTTTATTTAATTGTGTGGTATTCTCTTTTAAATTTGTTTCTCTTGTGGCATTTAATACATCGTGTGGTAATTAAATTCCGTAATTTAAATTCTTATTTAGTATCGTTATTTTAACTAAATATCGCGTGGTATTGTAATTCTTGCCTGCTAGCGTCTTTTATTCTCACTATTTTTTAATAGAAGGAGTTTTTTTTTAAATTTAAATAAAATCTTATTTCTAGTTTGCTTTTCTAGTTTTTTGCCACAAAGTGACGTCAAATACGCAAAAAAAAATTGTGGCCTCAACGATTTACGAAAAAGCCACGCCAACCATTTTTAATGGTCTAAAAAGCAGATACGTAGTTTTAGCAATCAAAAAATATCAAAAGAGGGGCAAATCTAAAATTGAAATTTAAAATTTTCCACTTGGATGAAACAATATGTTTCATGTTTTTTCAATCTTGTAAATTTTTTTAAATATTATAGAATACATACAAAAAATCAAAACAAAACAGCTTGAGCAAAAAAGACTCGTACTTATTAGAAAAGTTTATTTATATTACATGCAATCCTGAATAGAACGTTATATAAGTGGATTTTTTACATTTTATAAATAATATACATAATTTGTATATATATATATATATGTTGTAAATAATATACATATTTGTTTATATATGTTGTTTATATAGGGATGGTTAAGCGTCCAACCTGCCTATACAACAAAGTTTAAAAAAAATAAGTTTTGTATAAAAAAACAATTTATATAATGTTTCTTTGCAATTACCAATATACTATAATTTAACAAACAAACATTATCCAAACACTTAAAAAACATTATCCAAAACGTTTTCAAATATATCTCACAAAACCTAGCAACCTTGGGTTGCTCAAACAGCTTATTGACCAAAGCTTCTTTAGAAACAACGTGCGTTCCGGCTTCCGAAAAAAATAACTAATGGAAAATTAACTATTCGATCAATTTTTGAGCAAAGTACTCAAACCATACCATTACTGCCTATACCAGTCATTGCAATTCCAGAAATTCCATCAAATATACAGAAGCATAAAAATTCAAACACACAAACTTCATCGAGCTCATTAAAACAAATACCTCCTTTAACATGCTGCACAAATGCTTGTGAGCATTTAAAGGCATCAATTTTAAATGCTTTACATGTTGGTTTGCCCAAAGCTTAAAAGCCTAAAATTTACATGTTGGCTTGCCCAAAGCCCACATTATGACTTTTGAAAAGTTATAATACGACTTCTGAAATAGCTTTGCAGAACTTACAAACAATTGTACAAAATAAGAAAAATGAGTTACAAGCTAGAAAGGTTTTGTGTGAAAAAAAAAACAGGAGATTTAATTCAATTAAGATAATTCAATTAAGACTCAAAAACGTTTGGCAAAGGAAGCTGGTTTGTTTAACAAACCTACTACTAAACAATGGAAACAACAACTTTTGGATGTAATCAAAATCCCAACAATATCAGAATCCGAAGCGACTTCCATATATCAACACTGTAAATCTGATGGTTCTTTGAATTCAAAAAAATTTCAAGCTTCTGACATTTTTTTTGAAGATAAAATTACAGCTCAACAACAATTACGGATGCGTTGCAAATCCTTTGACAATTGGTTTTGTGGATCTTACTGTTCTACACATACAAAGCTTATTTAAATCAAACTAGTTTTTTTTATGTTAAAAAATTCTTTTTAACTAAATTGAAAAATATCTTCTTAACTTTATAAACCAGTGGTGTAGCAAACGTAGCACGTAGATGACCCAAGAAGTCCTAATGGTCTTTTCTGTGATAAGACCGAAAGACTTCTTGGGGACTTGAACAAAAAAAAAGTGATAAAGGCCAAAGAAATAAAAACTTATTAAAATAAAAAATACTACTACTTATACTTAAAAATGACATATTTTTATGTACTCCATGTTGTTTTCTTTGGCGTCCCAAAAGACTTTTTTTAGAGTCCTGGACAACGTCCCCCTTGATTACTGGTATTACCTGATATTATTTCATCATTAAACAATAAAACAAGATTTTAAAATTAGATTGCATTATTCTCGACTTGCATTATTAAGATTTATATAGCGACCAAACTTATGATATGGTATTGAAAGTTCTGCCAAAGTAGATGTTCTCATTTGAAAATAAATATTGAGTAGGGGAGATGGGGGCGCATTGATCGTCGTTGCAGTATTTTGAAAACTGCAAACAACTCGATCTAGATATAAAAACTTATTAATAACTAGAACAATCTGTCTTTAAGTAAAAATAAATGTTTTAATAAAAAACATTAATGAACATGGTATATTTCAACATTACAACAATCCTTGCAAAAGATCAATGTACCCCATGCAATGGGGTACTATGATCTCCGATATGGGGCGCTTTGATCTTATATGAGTAACATTATTTACATGTTTAATACTGCTATACCTAATTGCTACAAATGCATTAGTTGAAGGGTATTAGTGTATATTATATAATACATCTAAAAAAAAGTAAAATTTAAAACATATATATATATATATATATATATATATATATATATATATATATATATATATATATATATCATTACAACTTAATACACACCAGTGTCTATAATGTTTTCATTAGAAGAATGACCACAATACTATCGGTGAAAATAAGCCCGTTATATACTACTAACATATATATGTGTTAAGTTTTACAAAACTTGAAGCTTATAAAGTCTATCAGAATACAGTATTTTAAGTTTACAAAGAAAATACAAGGTTCATACAAGACTTTTATTAGAACTAAAGTTTACAAGATTATTTTTTTTATATTATCATCCTTTGTCAAAGTCAAGTCGTGATGCTGCTTTTACATTGCATTCTTTTTTGTTCCTAAGCAAGTAGTTTTTAACTTCTCCCTCTTTTTATCTTTTGCGATGAGTTTCTTTTGTTGGTTGATTTGTTTTAGGGTTTTCTTTTCTTCTGACAAACGAATTTCATTTATGATTTGAGTATCAGTCAAAGTCCTTGTTTTTAATTGCCTACTTTTTGCACTTCTTTTTCTAGCAGATGCTAGATGCTTCATTACTCTCACCTAAAGTTTCAAAACTTTAGGTGAGAGTAATGAAGCAATGCTTGGTGACACTTTGTTCGAAAAACTTGTTTCATGATGTACTACAGGCATTTCAGGCTCCATGCCATCAACATGTGCTACAGTCATTTCAGGTTCCAAAAGTATTGTGTTTACACCATTAGGAGCAGCACAATCTGTTACTGATGATGGTAAATATTCATCATCTTAAAAAATTTCTGGATTAAATAGCTCAATGCCAGCTACTTGAAATCCTCTCTGTATATTAGATGGTGAGAAAGCTTTTGTATATGGTCCGCAAACTATTGAAACAATATCATAAATGGTCATAGG